CAGCATCACAAAAAGCCTGAAGCTTAAGACAATACCTCCCCATTCCCAGGTGAACAGACCCCAACTAACATAAAGTTCAAAGTCAAGAAATAGGCTGGAAAAATGAGCAAACAGCAATAACAACAAAGAACTTGAACATAAAAAGCTACTATGGTGGCAGGGGTGCCCAAAACATAAATTTAGAAAAAGACAATGTGAAAAAAGCTACAAGTGAAGCCTCAAAGAAAAATGCTAATGGGATTCAAGCCCAATAAGAATTTCTGACAGTTTTAAAAAAGATATGCATGGTAGAGAAAAAAATTGGGAAAGGAAATGAGAATGTTGCAAGAAAATTATGAAAGGATAATTAACAACTTGGTAAGGCACAAAATATATTGAAGAAATAACATCTTACAAAACAGAATTAGCCCAATAGTAAAAGAGGCACAAAAACTCACTAAAGAAAAGGACTCTTCAAAAAGCAGAATTGGCTAAATGGAAATATGCTCTAAATCACAATTGTTTAAAGAAACAAATTAAAACAACTCTGAAGTACCACCTTACACCAATCAGAAATGACAAATGCTTGAGGGGATGAGGGAAAATAGGTACATGAATTGTTGGTAGAGTAGTAAATTGATCCAATCATTCCAGAGAACAATTTGGAACTAGACCCAAAGGACTATAAAACTGTACATACCCTTTGAGTCAGCAATACTACTACTAGGTCTATATACCGAAGAAATGGAAAAAAAAAAAAGGAAAAGGACATACATGTACACAAATATTTATATCAGCTCTTTTTGTGGTGACCAAGAATTGGAAATTAAGGGGATGCTCATCAACTGAGCAAAGGCTGAACAAGTTGTGACATGTGATTGTGATGAAGTTTTGTTGTTGTTCAGTAGTTTCCAGTCACATCTGATTCTTTGTGACTCCGTTTGGGGTTTCTTTGGCAAAGATATTGGACTGGTTTTCCAAATCCTTCTCTAGCTCATTTTACAGATGAGGAAACTTAGGCAAACAGGGTTAAGTGATGTGCTCAGAGTCACACAGCTGGGAAGTGTCTGAGGCCAAATTTGAATTCAGGAAGAGGAATCTTTCTGCCTCTAGGCCTGGTACTCTATCCACTGTGCTACTTAGCCGCCCTGTGATAGAGTACTATTATGTTATAAGGAACGACGAGGGTGGGGTGGTTTCAGAAAAAACACAGCAAGACCTATATGAACTGATGCAAAGTAAAGTGAAAAGAACCAGGAGATCATCGTGCATAGTAACAGCAATGTTGTAATGATGATCAAATGTGAAAGATATGGTTTCTCAAATGCTATCCACCTCCAGAGAGAAAACTGATGGAGTCTGAATGCAGATTGAAGTATCATTTTCTCATTTGTTGGCAATACGACAAATACAGAAATACGTTTGCATGATTTCACATGTATAACTGATACCCCATTGTTTGCCTTCTCAGTGAGGGTGGGAGGTGGTGGGGAGGACAGAAAGAATTTGGAACTTGAAGTTTAAAAAGAAAAGAATGTTAAAAATAAATGAATAATAACAATTTTAAAATAAAAATATCGCCCTCTTATCCTTTCCAAGTGCCCACATTAGTCCGTCACACATTGCCTGAAATGCTACCAATCAGAAATATATTTAATGAAGCTCTCTTCAAAATGCAGATATCCTTGGCATGGGGGAGGGTGCTATTTAGAAAACAGATTTATTTAATCAAAGTGATTTCCTTCTACCATCTGACACATTAAAAGAAGGAGAGATTTGGTTGGATAATACAGGAGAAGACTGAATTTTGGAGTATGAAGAAATCAAAAGGAGAGTGTCAGATAGGGTCGCCAAAGTGGTAGACTTTGCATAGTCAACATAGTATAAATGCCTTGGACAACAGTTAGAGATGGGGAAAAATGGACATGTTTTGCTGGCAGTGAGCTAAGGAAGATATTTGGCATCTCTCTCTGTCTTTCTCTCTGTCTCTCTCACTCTCTTTCTGTCTCTATCTGTGTGCCTCTCTGTCTATTTCTATCCCTCTCTCCCCTGGCCCACAGAAAATGAAGCTATTGGTCCTAACTTGGCGTGAGTCACATATAGTGGCTACATTTAATTTGAACCAGCAGTTTGAGGGTCATGCAAAATCATCTTTACTAGGCCTCTGGCCACAAATTATTTCAGACTCTGATATATATAAACTTCTATCTCTCAAAAACAGAATTTAAAAAATGTAGACAGAAAAGAGGCAGCCTAGCTGTAATGGATAGAGGTCTAGCCCAAGCCAGCCTCAAAGACAGAAAGACCTGAGTTCAAGCCCTGCCTCTGACACATATAGGCTCTATCACCCTTGGTAAGTCTCTTAAGCACTCAGTGACCTAGACAACTCTCTAAGACAAAGTTGCAGAGCAGGTTAAGGTTTAAATTGGTAGAGGGAGTTGTCTCAAAAGAAGGTCCGTATATCATTGAAATCACATGATGGGTCCAAAATAATTTTTTTAAGACAAATGCATTACTTAATAAAATTATGTTACTTAATATCATATTATTTGGTCAAATCACAGAATTTTAAAGCTGGAAAGGAATTTTCAGATTATCTAGTCCTAAAACCTCATTTTACAGATAAGGAGACTGAGGCCTAAAATGGTCAAGTGATTTACCTCCCAAGTAAGTTAACTTCCTCAAGGTCATACAGGTAAGCAAGTGCCTACATATCTTTACAGACGATGTAGACAGACAATGAGTTGGGCCTAAAATTGAACAGGAGGAGGAGGAGAGATGGCTAGATTGCATTTGGAAAATTACATAGTACTTTTAACAACCTCAAGCTTATCTCCAGCACAAAACTGTCTTTTCAGCACAAATATTCTCCAGGTAACATTACACAGCTGTGAATCTTGGATCAGTACAATCACTACAAACAAAAAGTCATGGATCAATAGAAAGGTGTGTATTGGCCTCCTCCTCATATCCCTGGCTTACTTTAAGACTCAACTCCGATTCCACCTTCTACCTGAGGCTCGTCATCCCCCAGTGCCATCTTAGAGATAACTTCCCATTTTCAACTGTCAATACCTTGAATGTGTGTATAGTTATTTGCAACGTGTCTCTACCATTAGAATCCTGTATGGCAGAACTTCTTTGTCTTTCTTTGTATGGACAGCACTTAGCAAAGTGCCTAACACATAGTGAGTGTCTCATAATTGCTTGTTAACTGAATGATTTCAGACACTTACTAGCTGTGTGACCCTGGGTAAGTCGCTTAACCCCTATTTGCTTCAGTTTCCTCATCTGTAAAATGGGAATAATAGTACCTACCTCCCAGGGTGGTTGTGAGGATCAGATGAGATAATATAAAGTGCTTAGCACAGTGCCTGGTACACAGTATCCTCTACAAAAATGTTAGTTGTTGTTGTTATTACTACTGCCCCTACTATGACTAGGTATAAGCAGGCTGCAATCATAAGCTTCCCTTTCTGTGTCATTCTATTTACCTCCTCAGAAGGGAAGGGAAAGACAAGGGGATTTCCAGTGGTAGTGCCCTGAAGGGATAAATATTGTCAAGGAAATGGCTGACTAGTAAAGAAGGTGGGCTGGTCATGTGGTGAAAGCAAGGGAAAACTAGGGGAGCAGCCTGGCCTCTACAAAATGGAAACTTCTGTACCACGCACAGATTTTCTGTTTAGGATCTGTGGGAGAACATAGGTGAGAGTCCCACAGAATAAGAAGGGGATTATGAGCAGGACTGAGAGAAGGGATGGTCCCACTGATAAGATCACAGATCCACAGAAGTTTTACTTCTACGATGATAGCCTCCAAATGAGTATTTGTGACTTCCTCAAGGAAACACTCTTGGGGATCATTTTAAACCTATCCTTAAAGACATCAGCCTAATAGTGGCAAAGCAGATAAACTTGGAGTAAGGAAGGCCCTGAGTTCAAACCTCACCTGTCTATGGGATTCTGGACAAGCCATTTCAAAACTTTCTTAACCTCAGTTTCTGTAAAACAGAGATAAGAATAGCACCTACTTCACAAGTTTGACACTGGAATCCTGTGAGATAACATATGTAAAGTGCTTTGCAAACCTTAAAGTGCCATATAAATGCTGGCTATTATTAACGTGGGGACATTTCTAAGAAAATGCATGGGAACGTCAGGCAGTGCACTGGAAATAAAATATTATCCGGCCCTTGAACAAATCCATGGCTATTCCTCACCTTAAACACTATGCGGTCACTGTACCCAAAAGATGGAACTAAAGAAGGTCAATTCAGATGATCAAAGACATGAACATCAGACGACTCACAAGAGGAAAGCGCAAGATTAAGAATCCAAACAGGAAGGAGAGATGAGCAAATATATGAAATCATGAAAGTTATGATAGGGTAAATGTGTAACAGTTGTGTTTACTATTCACTTCTTTCACATTGCGTCTAGCAAACGTATAAAACTTATGAGCTCAAAGCTGATAAATATAAAATGGCTTTAAAGGAGGTTTAGCTAAATGAATGAATGGCAGACGTCGAAAAATTATCGTCGCAGCCTACCCTTTTCCCCCCTGCCACAGCAGCTCTCTGTAATGATACAGGAGAATTGTGGGGAGAAGGGAGAGAGAGAGAGGACGGACACACCTACTCCATAATATATTGTTTGGTAAGTGTTCTTAAGTTCTTACACATTTATAAACTTTGTACACCCTTGTCTTCTTACCTCAGCGTAGTGAAAAGACCAATATTTTGAGTCAAGAGACTTGTGTGCTATTCTCCGTTCTTCCCTTCTCAAAACCCCAGTTTCCTCTTCTGTAAAAATAAGAGGGTTGAACCAGATTACACTAAGCTCCCTTCCCTTCTAAATCCTATTATTCTGTGAACAACATTTAAGTCCTCCTATCTTCATTTTCCAAATGCAAGATGCCATTTTTCAGTCCCGCCCTGGCGTTTCATGCCAAATCCCGCCACCCAGCTCTCCCCGACGCCCTAGCTTAAAAGTCTGGGTCCCACCCCTCACTGCTTCAGAGGCCCTTGCCTCTTTCCCGCACCTGCGCTGGACTCCGCTACTCCTCCCGGGACTCTGAGCCTTGGCCCCACCCTTGGCCCGCCTTCATTTAGCGAGGGACTAGAAACGCTGCTTACTCCAAGTCCAAAGAGCAATTCCCAGGGACTAGAAACGGGACTTCAGTGGACGCTTTTCTCCTCTTTCTATCCCAGGCGCTCAGCGTGAGTTAACTCTCAACCCCGCTGCTGTCCCTGGGACTGTGCATGTCATGAGCTCCGCGTCCCCCAGGGCACCCCCGACACCGGGGCTTCTCGGACTCCTGTCGCTGCTGTTGCTACCCGCGGCGCACGGTGAGTGGAGACTTGTGGCCGCCCCAGCCCCCTGGTCGAATGGCGTACTGACTTTGGGCAAGGGAGAGGGTTGCATGTGAGTCCGTCGTCATGGCAACCGAGAGTAACTGGGGACCAAAGAACTATAGAGGATGGGTTTACAAGCCTATGAAGTGGGTATGAAAGAGATTTTCTATGGACACTATCTCTAAAAAATACCCCAAAGTCTCTGCTCGCCAGGGTGGCTAGGTTTTTGAGTTGAGATGTGGGCTAGGTTCTGATTAATAGAAACTCTCATTTCTATGGAATTTTGAAGTTTGCAAAGTGCTTTCTCCACATCAACCCTATGAGATAGGAGGTGCAAATATTATCATGCCCATTTTACAGATGAGGAAACTGAGATTTAGGGAGGTTAAATGAATTGCCCACAGCCTCATAGCTAGTTTCAGAGGCAGCTTTCAAACCCAGGAGGTCTCCTGACTCTAACACTCCAAGACACCAAGCTGCCCCAATAGGTTAATAAGGAAACCTCTCTTAAAACCTCATTGGGGACCGAATAGGGTGAATTCACTAAGGGAAAAAAACCCCTAGTCTCTTAAAGGATTAGAACTGGAAGAGACCTTAGAGTTCATGTAATCCAGTTTTTAAATTTTGTTTAAAGAGAAGAAAGCTAAGATTTAGAGATGACAAGTAACGTGTTCAAAGTCACAAAGGTAGTAAGAAGCAGAGGTGAAATTCTAAATCAGTTCATCTTTCTCCAAATCCAGTGTTTTATCCATCACACCATGCTACTGCCCCCCAAATATTTTTGTTTTTCTTTTTTTCTTCCTTCCCTCCCTCCTTCCTGCTTTCTTCTTCCTTTCCTTTCCTTTCCTTTCCTTTTCTTTCTTTCCTTTCTTTCTTTTCTTTCTTTCTTTCTTTCTTTCTTTCTTTCTTTCTTTCTTTCTTTCTTTCTTTCTTTCTTTCTTTCTTTCTTTCTTTCTTTTTTTTTCTTTCTTCTTTCTTTCTTTCTTTCTTTCTTTCTTTCTTTCTTTCTTTCTTTCTTTCTTTCTTTCTTTCTTTCTTTCTTTCTTTCTTTCTTTCTTTCTTTCTTTCTTTCTTTCTTTCTTCCTTTCTTTCTTTCTTTTTTTCATCCTTAAAAGATCAGATACTTAATGAGCTCCAAGTATACACAGCCTATCCTGAAGTAGCTCAATGAAAGCAACCAGAAAACTGGAGAAGCTGTACTAATGGGCGTCTGGTTTCCTTTCTGGTTCTGTTTGGAAAAAAAAATGAATCATAAAGGGTGAGAACCCACGAGGATCTTGGAACTCATTTAATCCATCTTTCTGACATTTTACAGATGAGGAAACTGAGGCACAGAGAAATTCAGTGATATGGCTATGGTCACACAGATGTTTAGTGGTAGAGCCAGAAGTAGAATTCTTGAGTCTCATATTATTCCAATTCCTGGTTCTGTCAGTTCAGACTTGATTGGTAGTTATTCTATCTTTGGCGACTTCCTGTTCATTCATTCATCCATTTGTTCGTTCATTCATTTATATAATCACTTGAAAGGACCTAGTTACAATATGATGTTATTTCACTAAATTCAGCTTACTTTTTTTTTTGGTAGGTGCCTGTAGTATCCCTCCAGATATACCCAACGCCAAGCCAGAACTGAGTGGTCTAACAAGTTTTCCTGTGAAAAGCACTGTAACATACAAATGTAATAAAGGATTTGTAAAAATTCCTGGCAAGTCAGACTCAATTGTCTGTCTTCAATCTGATAAATGGTCAAGGTTGTCAGAGTTTTGTAATCGTAAGTCTTTCTTTTTAATATGCTTATGAAAAGTTGACATCCTGTGTCATCGAAATGGATAACATTTTCAAAGTGACTTTTAATGATTTACAATTAATGATTCAACACTGAGCATTTTCTGCTAAGTTATACCACAATCTTACTGAATGAAGGCATTCTTTACCTGAATCAGTTCTGCTTCTCATTAAAAGATTTTTCTAACATTACAGCCTCTTCCCAATTAATATAGTCACTGCTAGTAAGGGAATTAAAAAAAAATCATAGCTATTTTAAGTAATACTCTTGAGTACAAATTCCAGAGCTAAAATGTTTCTTAAACTTTATTCAAACAGAATTCTAAGTGGCATTTTAATTGCCCTATGTTTAATTCCTATTTATTTCACACCTATTGAATACAAGGGGGATATAAAAAGAAAGGTCCCTCGCCTTTGTTGTCTTTGAAGAATTTATAATCAACAAACATCTATTAAACATCTATTATGTGCCAGGTACTATGCTGGGTATTGCATATACAAAGACAGGAAACATTTCCTGCCCTCAAGGAAGGGGCAAACGATATAAATATCGTATATAAAATAATTTTGCAGGAGGTGAGGAAAAGGGTAACCATTAACACCTGGGGGATTTGTGAAGATCTTTACTTAGGGAATGATACTTTAGGTGAGTTTTGAAGGAAGTTAGTAGTTCTAAGAGGTGGCTGTGTTGAGGAAGAAGTATATTACAGGCATGGAAGACAATAGAAAATATATTTATTGTGAAAAGTTGTAGCAGGATGTTAGTTGTCAAATGGGTAGCACAAACAATAAACACAAAGAAGTTCAGAAGAAGGAAATCACTGTGAGCCCTGCCATATTTTGGATGGACCTTCTGTAGGTAATTTATGGAAGGACATGGATGAGAGTTATAAAGGATAAGTAGGAAGGAAGGAAATAAACAAACATTTATTAAGCACCTCCCATGTACCAGATACTGTGCTAAGCACTTTAAAATATTATCTCATTTGATTTTCACAACAATCCTGACAAGTAGGTGCTATTATTATCCTGGTTTTTATTGTTGTTGTTCAGTCGTTTTCAGGCATGTTCAGCTCTTCATGACCCCGTTTGAGGTTTTCTTGGCAAAGATACTGGAAGTGGTTTGCCATTTCCTTCTCCAGCTCATTTTACAATGAGGAACTAAGGTAAAGAGGGTTAAGCGACTTGCCCAGGGTCACACAGCTAGTAAGTGTTTGAGGCCAGATTTGAGCTCAGGAAAATGAGTCTTCCTGACCTCAAGCCCAATACTACATCCACTGTGTCATCAATCTCCATTTTACAGTTGTGGAAACTGAGGCTGCCAGAAGTTAAGTGACTTACTTAGGGTCACACAGCTAGTATCTAAAACAGAATTTAGATTTAAGTCTTCCTGATGAGTCCAGTGTTCTATCCACTGAGCCACCTCAATGTCTAGGCATGAATGCGTTGCTACCTGCATCATGGGGGAAATAGTCACATTGAGGAGATCACAACTGATGTGGTATATGGGAGGAAAAGTAAAGTTAGATAAAAAGGTTGCTTCTTGTTTCTGTGTTTTGCTTTTTATCATCAGGTACCTGTAACGTCCCACCTTCATTACGTTTTGCTTCACTCAAAAAACAGTTTAGTAAACAGAACTACTTTCCAGTGGGTTTCACTGTGCAATATGAGTGCCGTCCAGGTTATAAAAGAGATAATTCTCTGCCAGCAAATCTTACCTGCTTTCAAAATTTAATGTGGTCCAGTGCCTCTGAATTTTGTAAAAGTGAGTATGACTTGAAAATAAATTTTCTCTTTCAAATGAAGTGAGAGGATGGGATTGGGAAACAACGAATATCTGTTTCCCCTTTTATTAAAGGAGCCCTCAGTGCATGTAGTTTTTGCCTTAAATCATACCTGGAAGTTAAATTTATTATTTCTTCAATTTGTTTGTTTGGAAATAGGCAGACTTTTAAGATAACTTCTCAAATAGCACATTAGTCATATCTTTAAAGGTGACTAGAAATTTCACTAAAGAAAATGAAAACATATTATAGTGACAGCAATATTGTTTTAAGAACAACTTGGAGCAAATAAGTCAATTTGATTATTATACCTAAGTTAACTACAAAGGACATGAAGAAGATGCTACCTGCAACCAGAGAAAGAATTGATAAATAGAAGTACATATAGAATGGTTTTACATATGTATGTGTACACACACATACATATTTGTGTCTAATGGTAGCAATGGGGGGGGAGAGACATAAATTAAAAATAAAATAAATACATTTTAAAAAATTAAATGACGCAGCATTTTTAAAGTGTCTCTTTGGTGAAGTCTTTTCCTAAGAGGAAGGTGGACATAAAGGAAAAGTCAAAAGAAAAAGATGTATAGGTCTATTAATGCTATTGGTGTTATGTGTTTTATACTAATGCATGATAATAATGTTATTCAACAGTGCTCTGTAATATAAGTAGTAAAGAGTATAGATCAGATTGTATTTTGAGTGTATACTATGATAGGAGGATAAAGCCTAATTCCATTTTTATTCTCTTTTAGGAAAATCGTGTTTAACTCCTCAAGAGCTACCACATGGTCATGTCATTGTAACAACTGACATCTTATTTGGCTCAACAATTACCTTTACTTGTGACACAGGGTAAGTTTGAATAATATGGGAATAGGGAATAGACCTGTGGTTTCATTGGTAGAGGGAATTCCCAGGTCAGACAACTCATTCTACCAAGGTATGTTGGTATATTCTCTGCAACTTAAAAATTGCATTGAGATTAAAAGACCTGCCCAGGGTGACAAAGCCAGCATATGTCAAAGGTGGGATTCAAATCCTCTCTATCTACCATAACCACAGAAAAATCAAAGTGGGCTTAACATTAGGGACATATATTATTGCTGATAGTTTGAAACTACAGTTATCTGGGCTATTCTTTTCTTTCAACACACACACACACACACACACACACACACACACATGCGCTTTCCCAAGCAATTGATCTTACTTATATGTATTTCAAGGGCATGAAAGGTTTCTGAGATTCTGCGAATCCTTTGGAATCCAGAGCCTTCAGAATCTCAGCTTCCGTATACTTACTCTAATTTCATCACTGGTATCTATAGTAATTGTCAGAAGGCAGAAAAATCCAATAGAGCATGGGGGTTATACGCTGGTCTACATTTACCTTTATATATCACTTTAAAGTTTGTAATCTTCTTTACAAATAGTCTATCATTTTTATTCTCACAACCACCTTGGGAGTTAAGGGCTGTTATTATCCCCAATTCATGGATGAGAAAACCAAGAAAGACAGTGGTTAAGTGTCTTGCCCAAGATCACACAGTCTGAGGCTGGATTTGAATCGAGGTCTTCCTAACTCCAGATCTATAGCAGTCTATTCATTGGGCCATCTAGCTGCCTGTATTATTAATTATGTGGAGAGGGCTGGACTAGGTGATGTCTGAAGGCCCTTCCAAATCCCATGACCCTGGGAATTTTAACAGAAATGTGTTTGGGTTTTGGGGGAGAGGTGGAGCAGGGTAGAGATCAAGGCAGGAGAGGTATTCCCCCCCCCCAGCTTGACAGTTGTCATTTCTATTCCTAGTTCTCGTGCAACATCTCTAAATGACATTGGGAATGCTATTGGACTCATTTGTTCTTCACATTTTGTGAAAGGAGAATATCTGTCTTTTAATTTCTGCATGGTTATTAACTTGTTGTTTATAAAAGCATCTTGTATCCCTTTAAGTACTCTTCTATAAAAGAGAAATTGCTCTCTGAGGCTTTCAGAAGTACTGAAAAATTGGGGTATTTATGCCATATAACAAATGTCAAAGAAAAAAATTATTGCCTTTGTTGTATTGTGTGCTGGGGGAGAAGGTTCCGACTTAACAAAAAAAAAAGTCTATCTTTTATATTGTCCTATTATTACCACTTCTATCGCTTAAACACTTAGCTTGCTGCTTTTGATACAGTAGACTTTAATCACATTATTATGTCTCCACTCACTGGCAGAAAAAAGAACAACAAGCAGTTTCTGCAGTGGTTGAGAAAATTCAAATAAGAGCGTAGAACCTATTTCTTTCAGCTTTTTTTCTCTCTTGTTTAGATATAGGTTAGTGGGGCCACAAGATAGCCAATGTATTCTTATGGATAAAAATGTTACTTGGAGTGACCCACATCCAAAGTGCACAGGTAAGACATTAACAGAAGTTAAGTCAATGTTGTGTAGATTTTACAGCATCTGTAATAAAAAATTATTTAGGGGTAGCTAGATGGCAAAGTGGTTAGAGCACCAGCCTTGGAGTCAGGAGGACCTCTAGTAGTTGTGTGATCCTGGGCAAGCCACTTAACCCCGACTGCCTCAAAAAAAAAAAAAAAAGAAAAGAAAAGAAAAAGAAGTAAATCAAAATTATTAAGCATTTTGCTACTGGGGCATCTCAATAATAATAGTGAACATTTACCTATTGTCTTAAAGTTTGAAAGGCTCTTTAACATGTTATGTGCCTCGATCCTTATGATAATTCTGTAAAATAGGCATTATTATTATTATCATCATCATCATCATCTCCATTTTACAGTTGAGAAAACTGAGGCAGAGAGTGGTTAAGTGACCTGCCCAGGGACACACAGTTGTACTTACATACAGAATTCAAGGTATTCTGTCTTCCTGACTCCAAGCCCAGCACCCTATCTATCTACTTGCCATAGTAGAAGCCAACAAATGTTACTATTTTTAAAAGAACAAAAACTACTCTTCCCTAAGCAGATTTTTATCACGGATTTTAAGGAATGAAAACTTAAGGTTTAGTTCCTCCTTTCTAAAGCAACTAAACTTTATGACTAGGGTTTATTTTCGACATTTAAGTTACTTTTGGCACTGTACAGCCCATGTGAAAAAAAAATAGCATGGAAGATGGAGATACAATGGAATACAGTAGAAAGATTGGGACTAGGTTTTTCTGCCCTCCCCCCCAACCCCAACCCCAATCTCCGGCACACATTGTTTCCTAAAACCCAAGCTAGACTGTTGTATTCTCCTACTTCAATATTGTCAACACCCACTCTCATGCAAACAACTTTTCTCCTTATGCGATTCCCAGAAATGCATTTTATATACTCTGGCCACATATTTCTAGTACAGACTAGCTTTTGAATGGCAACCCCAGTTCACAGTAGCATGGTGGAGTGCCTAGGAATTATTATTTTTCATGTTAACTATGGGGATTAGAACATCGTAATCCATTAGTGGGTAGAGGACTTGTCATGGAATTAGAAAGACAATCAATCAATAAATCAAAAGATCTTTATTAAGTCCTTACCATGAACCAGGCACTGTACCAAGAACTACAAAGGAAACACTGCCTCTGCCTTCAAAGAGCTTATATTCTAATGGGGGAGAACGCAAGATGCATCCAAAGTAGGTATAAGGTGACCTTGGAGGGGAAGGCACTCTTGGCTGGGAGAACCAGGGAAGGCATAGAAGAGGGGCTTGAGATGGATCTTAAAGGAAGCCACAGATTCTACAATGAGGTAGAATATTCTAGACATAGAGGATATAGTTGCTGCAGAGGAGAGTAATATTTGAAATGACTAGAAATGATAGGAACACCTAGCTTCACCTCTTGCCTCTGACCATTGTTGTTGTTCAGTTGTTTCGATTGTGTCCAATGTCTTATGACCCCAATTGGGATTTTCTTGGCAAAGATACTGGAGTGGTTTGACATTTTCTTCCCCAGCTTGTTTTACAGGTGAAGAAACTGAGGCAAACATGGTCAAGTGACTTGCCGAGGGTCACAGAACTAGTAGGTGACAGAGGCCATATTTGAAATCAGGAAGATGAGTCTTCCTGACCTTTGGGACGTTCTGTCCATCTAGCTGCCTCTGACCTATACTATATACTATAAACTATGTATACTGTGTACCTATACTATGTCAGATTATAGGCAAGTCACATAACTTCTCAGTATTCCCAAGCAATTTTCTGAGAATATGAAGTTGGAGCGAGTGCAGATCTGTACTGATGGAGGGGGTTTCCACTTCAGATGTTCATCACATTGATAAAATCACAGTTCTTGACCAAAAAATCAAAGAAAATCTAATAGTTCCCACCTCTGGGCTGGTGAAAAGATGGCTAGTGTGTATACAATGTGTGAAGGGTTTGTACAATGCTTTACAAAGATTATCTCATTTTATCCTCACAACAACCCTGGGAGGTAAGTGCTATTATTATTCCCAAGTTACAGAGCATGGAAACTAAAACAAGCAGAGGTTAAGTGACTTGCCCAAGGTCATACAACTAGCAAGTAACTGAGGCTGGATTATGACTCAGATATTCCTAATTCCAAGTCTACTGGCTCCATCCTGTGTGGTATCAAGCTGCCTAAGGGAAGTTTTGGCAAGGTGTCTGGGAATACAAGTGTTAACAAGCATTCTAAATTGAATCTTTATTTAGTCTCACCCACATAGGCAATGTGAATAACAAGGTTTGTGTTGATTGTTTTACTTTATCAGTGCTTCATTTATGCCTAATAAGAAATTTAAAAGCATTACTAAATTAAAATCTATAGTAGCTCTGTGTCTTTAAAGGTATATATGATATTTTTCTTGAAGTTCAATTCCTTTTGTTGAGCTGTTATGTGTGTCTGAGAATTTTTTTGACTTTCACTAGCAGTCCTTGTACTTGGAAAGTCTAGGAATCCTTGCCTTAATCTTTACGATCATAGGGTCATGGATTTGGAGCCAGAAAGAACCTTAGAAGACATCTAGGCTAATGTTATGATTGTGATTGCCCCTGTAATCACTCTTAAAACCAGAAATGAATTGTAACTTCTCTGTAGCGCCAAATTTTTCTAACTACTGTCAAGTTTTAATTTCAAGGAGCAGTAACTATTTAGAACTAGAATTTGAGGTTGGAAGGCTGGATAGTTCTAACAAACAGGGAATCATCCTACTGTCTTTTCTTAAACCTCTGTCTCAATATTGTCCCTCTCTTATTTCAGCCCCCATGCCATTGACCTTTTATTGACTCTGTCATCTCTCTTTACTTCCCTGCCAATGATTTCCTTTCCAGAGATATCTACCTTTAACCAGGGAAGTGAAATTAGTCTCCTAAACATCTAACTCAGTATTTTTATTCTGTTCCTGATGTTAGAATAAAATGTCCCAAGAACATTTCTGATGGGGGAGGGTGGGGAAGAGCCTGAATTAGTTTTAATTCAACTTAATTCAACAAATATTTATGAAGACTCCACTATATACAGGACAACATCCTAGGTGCTAAAGGAGATTTAAATTTAGACCCAGCAAATGAGGTCTAGTGGGGAAAGATACATATACAAGTAACTGTAATACATGAAGTGAGAAGAAGAGCAAAATGCTATACAAGGTTAGAAGGGGAAAAGTTGTTGAGAATGGAGGATTGTGGGCATTTTATATGTTTGTAAATAGTCATCCATTTTATCTAAGTTATCAGTTTTACTAACATTTAATTAGGCAAAATGGTTTGTCATAGTTTCCTTTATTTCAATCTTCATTTGTGAATTCTTTTTTAAACCCATTTTTAACACAACTTGGTTTTCCACTCTCTTTTTAAAAAATAAGATTAAATAGATGTTTATTTTATTAGTTTTTTCTGCCAAATAACAAAAAGCTCCTATTTTTATAGATCAATTCAGTGTGTTTTTTCTTTCAATTTTGTGAATCTCTTTTTTAATTTTTCCAGATTTCTATTTTGATATTTAGTTGGAGTTTTTTCATTTGTTGCTTTTCTAGTTTTTAAGTTGCATGTCCAATTCATTGATCTGTTCTTTTGCTGCTTTATTGATGATATGTTTAGAAATGTCAGATGTTTTCTAAGGACTGCTTTAGGTGCATCCCAAAAGTTTGGCATATTGTCTTATTGTTGTCATTTTCTTTAATGAAATCTCATATTGTTTTTATGATTTGTTTATATGACCAACCAATTCTTTAGGATTAAATTATTTATCTTCCAATTAATTTCATTTTGTTCTTCAAAGGCCCTTTATTGAATATAACTTTTATGGCATTATGTCAATAAAGAATATGTTAAATATTTTTCTTTTTCTGTGCCTCTAATCATAGTCAATTTTTGTAAAAGAGTCATGTCCAACTTAGAAATAGGTAAACTCCTTTCCATTCCCATTTAGTAACTGGCAGAGGTCTATTATATTTAACTTTTTCAAAGTTTTATTTAAGTACTTATTTATTGTTTATGTCTTGATTAGATTTGCTTAGGTCTGAAAGAGGTCCACTGAAGTCCCCTGCTGTTACGATTTACTCTCTTTCTCTGCAATTTAATTGACTTTTCCTTTAAGTATTTGATGCACATTGAATATTACTATTGTAATAATCTTTTAAGCTATATTAATAATAATGCAGTTTCCCTGCCTATCTCATTTTATCCTTCATATTTTTGCCATCATGATTTAACATGTCATTTTGAATAGCAACATATTTATGGTTTTAGTCCAGTAGTTCACCTCATTGGTTTTATTTTCTTCACTAATAGAATTTTTCTAATTTTGTTGTCTTTAATGAAATGCCATTTGCATAAGACATTTAATGTTTTAAAGATCTTGGACTTTTTTCCTTTAGAAATTTTATGTCATGACCCTCCAGAAATTGCTAATGGAAGAATCCAAGAAAAACAGGACAGTTATAAAAATGGATCATTTGTAACTTATGTATGTAATAATGACTTCTCACTTATTGGAGAAAAATATATCCATTGTACTGTTAAAGATGAACAAGGAGAATGGAGTGGGCCTCTCCCTGAATGCAAAGGTAACTAATTTATATACTAAAATAATTGGGGTTTTTTGCTTTATTTATACTTGTGGAGAGAGCAAGCTTAAATTAAGACTGTGCCATAACATCATGAAAAATCCATTTTCAGCAAATTAATGGAAATATCTTTTCCTTTATGTATTCCTAAAATATTGGGTATGAAATTCACTCCTAAAACATGAATGCTATTCCCTCCTTCACTTCAATTATAAAATTGGAAATGAGGTCTAAATGGAAAAAAGCCACAATTAAAATGAGTTTGAAGTGTGTGGAAGGAGTCAAGATGTTGATTAGCCCAGCAGCATCATTTACGTTATGTATACAGGCAGTGGTATTTAGGTAAATTTTAACAACCAGCTTTCAGGGGGTGGGGAATGGGGGTAGGGATGTAACACATGATATACTTTTAATTTTAATCTGCAGTATTGAAATTTTCTCCATCACTTTCTTAAGTGTTGACAGTCAGTAAAACAATAAATCAAGCCCTGATTTTCGTAGCATTTGCTAATTTACACAATGTAAATACACTGAAAATTTAACAAGTGGTTCACTGATTCAAGCCATCTCTCTACACGCTCCCTGTATAGGCAATATTGTGTCTACTAGGTTATCTCCATGCTTTTTACCTGCTAAAAGAGGCATTCATTTTTCTATTGTATAATTTTTTGCAATTTTTAGCTCTTTTATGATTCTAAAAACTCCCTTCCACCCAGAGCTTTCACTAAGAATTCTGGTACCAAGGGCATATTCAATTTAGAGAAGGCATGAAAAGGGGTAGAGAGATGGGGGAAAGGGATAGGCAGACTCAAAGAGGAGTGACAGTGAAGAACTGTGGATATAAAGGGCCTGATACTTCTGGGAAGGCCACTGAAGATGAAGAGAGAAAGTGGCTGGGTATGGGTCCAGTATCAATACTCTAGTTTCTCTTAAAGGTGTATTCTCTTTCTTTTCCTTTCTTTTCTTTTTTTTTTTTTGGCCTTTTTTGGTGAGGTAGTCAGTGTTAAGTGACTTGCCCAGGGTCACACAGCTAGTATGTGTTAAGTGTTTGAGGCTGGATTTGAACTCAGGTCCTCCTGATTCCAAGGCTGGAGCTTTATCTACTGCATCACCTAGCTTCCCCAGGTGTATTCTCTTTCAAAAAGCTTTCTAAAGTAGAAAAATGGTTACAATAAATATCGGCATCTTGAAAAATGTCTATGACTCCATATTTTATCTCTATTCCTGAACTCTACCCACCTTGCAACCAGGTTGTTAAAATATTGTCATTATTTTCAGATGTCACTTGCAAAAGTCCAGTAGTCTCAGATAGGCAGCCAATATCCCCATCAAAAACTCCTTATAAATATCAGCATGCCTCGACATTTGAGTGCAAACCTGGATTCGTCCTGATGGGCAATAGCACCATTTACTGTGGTTCTGATAGTACATGGGTGCCTGGAATTCCATCCTGTAAGAGTAAGGAAATAATGCCTTGTTATTCCCCATTCAAAACATTTTACTTATTTCTGTTTGTGCATAGAGCAATCAATAAATATTTATTTAATGTCTACTATGTGCCAGGCACTGCTAGGTACTGAGAATACAAAGACAAAAATGAACATCTCTGCCCTCAAGAAGCTTACAAATTCTATCACAAATGTAATTTATTTTTAGAGGCCTAAAATTAATCTTAAAATCAAATGATAATGGCAAAATTAGTTAAGTGTGTTTAACTTTTCAGGTTGCATTGTCAGGTTATGGAAAAACAGGCAGTAAGACTAAAATGAAATTAATAAATTCAGGAAAACGTTCAATTTAGTAAATATTTATTGAAAGCCTACCATAGACAAGGCACTAAACTTAGGGAAATACAAAAATTAATGAGGCAGAGATCCTGTCCTTAATGTCAGTATGGTCTAATACAGGAGATAAGATATGTGCACAAATAAATTGAATATTAGGCAGACTATGGTGTGGGAGAGACACAAAATAGGCGTAAAGAGAAGAAAGATGATTTCCAGCTGGAGGATATTTGTGTTGGGCCTTGAAAATTGAGTAGGATTTTAGCAGGATGTGAAGAAGAAAAAATTTTAGGGTGGCTAGAACAGGAACAGTAAGAGGAAAGTTACAGAGGCTGTAGGGTGCTGGTCATGTTTGGGAAAGAAGTAGTCAGTATCACTAAACTATAGAGTACATGAAAGGGAATAGTGAGCGGTGAAGCCTGTAAATTAGATTAAAGCCAGATTGTGGATGGCTTTGAATGCTTTACTCAGGATTTGGGGCATGGAAGGCACTCTGGTATAAGGGAAGGAACACTGCTGTGCAGTCAGTGGATCCAAGTTCAAATCTTTGCTAGTTGTACTTGCTACTGATGTAGCAACCTCTGTGGGCACCATGATTAGTGTAAAATCAGGGAGTCAGACTGGAAAGGTTTTTGAGCAAAGGAGTGGTGAATTTGTTATCATTTTGTTGACCGTTGTGATTCTGGGTTTTTTGTTTTATCTTGTTTGTTTTGGTTGTGAGGTTTGTTTGGGTAAGGATATGTTGGTAACACACAAGAATTTGGAAGTTAAAAGCACCTTGACTAGGGGATCTTTAGTCATTTGTTTTGCAAGCATGTTAATAAAATAGGAAATACCCTAGTATAATTCAAGGGCCACTAATATGAAATACATACATGGACTGACCTTTTGCTTCTTCTATAAAGAAATTCCTATAAGTGAATTAATAACTTACATGCTATGTATAAAATTAATACACGCATTTTTCTGCTTAAGAAATGCATGAAAGATGAAAGTCCATATTAGGGGAAGGGTAATTGGGAGGGCAGAAAGAATAGTTTTAGTGCTAGTGCTAGCCTACTAAGAGAGTTTATGGTAGACTACACACTTTTTACTTTTTCCCCAGTCCCTCAGCTGCCTCAGTTGAAGTTGGAATCCCAGCAGAGTATCTTGAAGTAGGAGGACCCTGAAGGTAGCAAATTGATTGAGGCAATCCTGGACTTGCTGCCTGGGCTTAGGTTAGTGGCTTGTGGGAAGAAAGTATATCCATCTCTGCTCCTACCCCAAAGGAAAACAAACCAGATAAACAAAGGAATTTATCATCAATGGCAAAAGGTAGCCAGGAAGTCCAATGGAAGGGAGGATCCCCCTAGCTTGTCCTTCCATGCACTTTTCCCTCTCGGGCCCACCACCAATACATTTGGGTCACAACCAAAGCCATATCCACAATAAATGGGAAACTTTAGCGTAGACTCCCTATCCTGCATGCAGACAAATCATCTGATTACATACATACATACACACAGAGAAAAAAAAAATATATATATATATATATAAAATGTCTATGTACCTATATATTATATACCTATATTTCTATGCATACACATATATACCTGCACATATGTATATATAATATATAGTATATATGTCTAAAACTATTATAGATTATATATGAATTTAGAATTATAATTAAATTATATAAATTTATATATAAACTTTATAATTAATCTATTTATATCATGTATTTTATATGTAACAATTTATATATAAATGATAATAGATTATGTGTTATATAATGTATTACAGTTTGAGACTGATGATTAGATTATATTACTATAGTTTTAGACTGCTTATATTATAGTTTTAGACATTTACCTGGGGCATTGAGAGATTGAGAGATTGACTTGCCCACAGTTACACAGCTGGGATGTGTCTAAGGCATAGCTTGAGCCCCATGTCTTGAAACCATGACACTGAGGCTAGCCCCACCCTACCTTTAACCATTTAATATTGGCAAGAAACTGAGGCCAAACTGGAAAAACCGAGGCCAAAGCACCTGAGGCCGTACAATCAGCGAGGGAGGTAAGACTAGATCCAGGGCACCTGATATGCATTCTAGGCTCTCCATGCTGCCCCAACAATTCCCAAAGTATAATTGTCCATATTCCTGGAAGTCCATTGGGCTCTTCCCAAGGGATCATAGGCTGGTCTAAAATATAAGGACGGGACTTGCTGATGTGTGGATTAAGTGTTCAGCCTGTCCAAGAAGCAGAGAGAGGAGAAGCAGCAGCATTTTACACAGAGTGACTTTTTGGCTCAGATTTGATTCGATCTAGACTCCTCATTTCATTGGTATTGATTGGGAAGCCCAAGTGAGGAAACTCCTTTTTCTGACTTTGCAGCAGCAAAATTTCACCACCCCAATTTGAAAACATGGAACAAAGATACTGACCATATCTGCTGTCAACTTGTATTATAAGCAGACATGATTATATTTCCGTCTATCAAATACACATTGAGACAAGAAGAGTGAAGACAGAAATCTCACTGAATGCAGTCCTCATTCCCTGTCCCGTTTATTCGTAGGCTCATAGATCTGTGTCCTAGAAAGGATCTCAGAAGCCACTTAGTCCAACCCCCTCATTTTACAGACGAGGAACCTGAGGCCCAGAAAGCTTACAAGGCTTACCAAGGTTACCCAAGGTAGTAAGCTTCTCAAAGTCAAGTCTGAGCACTTGGTGTAGAAAAACATATTCAGCTGATAAATGCTAACTTGGAAAGTAATAGTTAATTACTGTGTATGGTTGATGTTCCCTTTATAGAAACTACCACATTGGCCCCAACAGCAGAAAAATCAATCATAACAAAGGCACCAGCAACACCTGCCCAGGCAATGGAACAGGCCAGTGCAACGAACGCACCAGCAACACCTGCCCAGGCAATGGAACAGGCCAGTGCAACGAACGCACCGGCAACACCTGCCCAGCCAGTGGAACAGGTCAATGAAACGAACGCACCGGCAACACCTGCCCAGCCAGTGGAACAGGTCAATGCAACGAACGCACCGGCAACACCTGCCCAGCCAGTGGAACAGGTCAATGCAATGAACGCACCAGCAACACCTGCCCAGGCAATGGAACAGGCCAGTGCAACGAACGCACCAGCAACACCTGCCCAGGCAATGGAACAGGCCAGTGCAACGAACGCACCGGCAACACCTGCCCAGCCAGTGGAACAGGTCAATGAAACGAACGCACCGGCAACACCTGCCCAGCCAGTGGAACAGGTCAATGCAACGAACGCACCAGCAACACCTGCCCAGGCAATGGAACAGGCCAGTGCAACGAACTCACCAGCAACACCTGCCCAGGCAATGGAACAGGCCAGTGCAACGAACGCACCAGCAACACCTGCCCAGCCAGTGGAACAGGTCAATGAAATGAACGCACCGGCAACACCTGCCCAGCCAGTGGAACAGGTCAATGCAACGAACGCACCAGCAATACCTGCCCAGGCAATGGAACAGGCCAGTGCAACAAAGGCACCAGCAACACCTGCCCAGCCAGTGGAACAGGCCAGTGCAACAAATGCACCAGCAACACCTGCCCAGGCAATGGAACAGGCCAGTGCAACAAATACACCAGCAACACCTGCCCAGGCAATGGAACAGGTCAGTGCAACAAACGCACCAGCAACATCTGCTCCGCCAACGGAACAGGCCAGTGCAACAAACGCACCAGCAACATCTGCTCCGCCAACAGAACAGGCCAATGCAACAAACACTCCATCAAAACAGGCCCCACCACCAACACAGCAGGCCAGCACAACGAATGCTGCAACAACCCCCACCACACCAACAACCAAAAAATCCACCCCAACACGGAGTTCTACCAGAATTGTAACCACTCTTCGTTCTACCACAGCTGCATCTTTTCACATGACTAGACCTAGCTCAACAAAATTTCAAGGAAAAGGAACTATTCCTTCAGGTCAGCAGGCATGCTCTACTTTTTTTTTTTTAATCGTTGTAGTGAGTTTGAGTTGTAAAAAATGAGGTTTTACGATGTCCTGTTTTAAGATAATGGGTTGTATAGAATTGAATGGGTCAGATGAGGATGTTGGTTAAATGATCCCTGGCCCGTCAATGCCATAGAAGCTTTCTGCAGGTCCCCCAAATCCTCTGCACTGGCATCCTTGGATGGCATCTGGACAGAAAGTGAGAGAAAAACCATTAGACCATATGGGAAAAGAAAAGGAAAGTGGTGTCCTACTAAAAAACCGTTCCAAGCTAAGGTTGAGAAGGGAAATCCTAGCACTTAGAGAAGTTTCAGGGGACCATGGAACCCAGGAAGAGGCTTATACAGACCCATGTGGGTCTCCCCTTCATTATGTATTCTTGCATATGGCTCACCTGACTCTAAAACACATCCTATCCTCCCTTCTCTGTGTGTTCTGAATCTACCAATGGGAAATTCCAGTTTTATGATGAGAAACTATTTGAGAGGAAATGTTTCTTCAATATAAAATGAACTGACTCTTGTAGGGAAAAACTTAATAGCCCTTATGTTTTCTTCAAACTAGGACCCTAGATGAATTTATTCACCTCAGTAGGGTGGGCTCCTATATATACACATATATGTGTGTGTGTGTGTGTGTGTGTGTGTGTGTGTGTGTGTGTGTGTATGTGTGTATGTATAGGTAGGGATATTGTTATATATGTGTGTATGTATATGTGTATATGCATAGCTATATATACATATACACGTGTAATATATGGTATTTGATATATAATTGATACACATCAATATGTATTATGTATTATTATAGCGTATATATATAGATAGAGATGTTTGAGGATAAAACGAGGTCAAATTCTACGCTATTCAAACTTAGCCGAGAGTATGAGTCACTAGAGTACATGGCTATCCTGAGTTAAGGTACAATTTGTGATGGTTAAAGGACTCTTACGCTCCCATCATGACAGGTCGAGTCAAAACATAATTTGACCTTTACATTGTTTGCACGGGATTTATTTTCTAGTAATAATATCTAATGTCCCTACAGCACTTTAAGTTTTACAAAGTGTTTCTCTCAAAATAATCTTACGAGGTAGGAAAATTTCCTCAAATGAGATTTTATCATGAGCATTTTATAGAATTAGTTTATTTAAAGCTGATCTTCTCTCTAGATTTAGATGGGCCATACAGCACATTTGATGTGGAAGATAAAGGACTGGTCTAAGAATCAGGACAACCTGGGTTCAACCTGGTTCAGCCAGCAACCTGGTTCAAGTCCTATCTCTACACATGAGCTACATAACCCTGAGCAGGTTATCTGATCTGTAAAGTTCCAGGCAACCCTCTGAAACTACACATTGCAGAATGGTTGCTAATTTGTGTTCACCCTGATGAAATCATAGACCAAAAAAAATGTTTAAAGCTCTTGCCTTAGATAAAAATCTAGCATAAAATTTTAAAAGCTTTTAAATAGCATATTTTCTAAATATACAAATCTATTTTTGACATATTGTTGTATTTTAAATCTGCGCCATTGATTCTTCTAGAAGACATCAACATTTAACTCAAAATTTACTATTTTCTTTATTCGTTCCTTCTTCAGGTGCTGTCATCAATACGTATGGTAAGTTTGGCTGTCAGACATTCTTAAGAAGTTGTGATCCATGTAAGAAGTCTTTGCCTAAGGAAAGTGAAAGCTTAAGAGTATCAAAGATATATCAAGTAAATGGATGGTATGGACAAATACTGCTGAAATTCAGGAGGATTAAATGCTCCTGGGTACTTGATATGTTCCAGATTTCTTCCAAAAGAACTCCAGTAAGATGGATCTGCTTCAAATTAATCAAATCATATTAAGTGTCCACCTTGTGCAGAGCAGTCTATGGGGTGATGTGGAGAAGTCAGAAGGAATTAAGATACAGTTCTTGTCTTCAAGTAATTTATAATCCATTGCACAATTCCTCCTTTACCTGACACTATGTATGCTGCCTAGATCAGGGGTGAGGAACCCGTGGCCTGAAGGCCATGTGGGATCCTCTAGGTCCTCAAGTGTGGCCCTTTGATGGAATCCATTCATGGCTGCACTTGGGGACTTAGAAGACCCCATGTGGCCTCAAGGCCACAGATTCCCCATCTCTGGCCTAGATAGACGATTCATAAGTATAATCAGCTTTAAACTATAGCCATTACATTTTTATGCCTTTTAATTGTGTTAGTACAACTTGACTTCTATAAAAACAGGTTATTCAGATTATTTTTTTTTACTTCAGTTAAAATTTAAATTTGAAAAAAAATGCTATATTCAAAGTTTATAAAGAGAACATTTAATGATGAGAATGAGCAAAAACCTTGTCAGAGACCTTGGTTCACAGTATGAATGTAAATCCTGGCCAAACTGGCTCTTGAAAATTCCACCAGTGGAAAAAAAAGTGAGGGGAGGGAAGGATCAAAATATCAACCAGGATGAACAAGAAAGCCATCTGGATTGCAGGGTAGAACTGGAGAGATGGTGGAGAGTTATTCTCGGGTACGTGGATCTGGAGAATGTCCCTTTCTGCCATCTTCCTCTCACATACTCCAAGGCACAGACTAAACACTAACTTCTTTGTGCACATACCTGCATGACTGTAGAAAGGTTTTAAACCTGTGCATTGTTGATTTAGAAGGGATGGGAAGGGGGTGGGGAGAGGTTGGAATATCTTTGCCTTTTAATCATTCACAATTTCTGCCATGCTGATGCTAACACATTTCATATTGCAGTAGAATTTCAGAGAGGATTAATTATGGTGAAGGAAGGAAGGAAAGAAGGAAGGAAGGAAGGAAGGAAGGAAGGAAGGAAGGAAGGAAGGAAGGAAGGAAGGAAGGAAGCCGGGCAGAATGGAGTAAGGGATGTAAAGGATGGCCAGAAGCAGAGACTAGGTAGTTAAGGTTGTGTGGGAAGGGTGATCTCTGAAAACATCATGTGAGATTTTAACTTAACTTGAAATGTTTCATACGAAAAACAAGAGTTCATTTTGTAAAACAATCCCTTCCATAGTAGGAAGCAGAGAGAACATCCTAACAATGATGATTCTTGGATGACCAAAAGCCCTTAAAAAACTGAGGACAGAGGTGATAAATTTTATAATTCTGCTGATCAAAAAATAGATCAGATATCACTGGAGGATATCAATGTTTAATTTTAAAAGTGGGAGGACAAGCTAATCTGAGAAATGGGTATTAGATATTCAGTCTCAAACCTGAGGATTCAGGAAGGTATCTAAGAAGTCTGGCTCATGTCCTCTGTTTTGTTTGATTTTGAATCGTTTCAGAACAACGTTTCATAATCAAGATACCACATTTAATGTTTTTCCTTTCCACACCTAACTTGGTTATCAAAATGTTTTTCTTTCAAGGAATAGGTGGTGGTCTCATAGTAATGGCTGTTCTAATAGTACTTCCGGTTTTCATCAAGCTTCTTTTTAACTCTGGGAAATCAGGGTGAGCCAAAATTCAAAAGTCTTTTTCTTCTTTTGATTTGTTAGCATCTTCCAGCATAAAACTCAGGTTGGGTGCTACCCCTGCCAAAAACTTACAGATTATTATTGTGCTTTGATATGTGAATGCCATTTCTTCTTTCTATAAACAACGTCTAATTACTCTCTTTAAGACTATACTCATGACTCAAGTGTATGCAGCAACACAATTTGCACTAGTAATTCAAGGAAATTTTAAAATGAGGGCGGTTTATTTATTTGTTTTTCCTGCTGCATAAAAGGAAAAATGCTAAATGTTCTGATTTTCCATTAATTCTTCAGTTTACTTCATGATGTTGGTTGTGTTTCACAACTTTTGCTCATCTGAAACAGGAAAACATAAACACTCCTGTAGCTGCTGTATTTGGGTCTGCTTTTGAATGGAACTATTTGCTAATAAATAAACATTTTTGGTTTTCTCATGGCGCTTTGATTGAAAATCTCAAGGTCACACAAGTTATTGTGTATTAGACATTAGGATTTTGCTTTAGGCAGAATCTCTGGGCTCCAGGCCTGTCTCCAATGCACATGGCTGTGTGACTGTGGGAAATCAGTTAACTTCTCTGTGACCCAGCCAATTTGGTAAGGCCACTATAGTTATAGACAAGCTCCAAGCTGTAGCTGTGGAAAAAACTTTCACATCAGGAATTCCCTACACTGGTGAAATGAGAAGTCCTGACCATCCTACAGGCCCTCAAATAATTTATTTTTTAAAACAAATTTAAAACACTTAAATGTGATATTAAGATAATTAACTGTATTTTAATTTCACAAGTAGTTATTTAAAACACAAGTATCAAACATTTTGATTATTTTAAATGTTTTCATTTCTTTAATTTTTTTTTAGTTACTTTTTCTGGCAAATTTTAGGTGAGGGGATTTATTCATTCATTTGCAGCTGGAAGGGACCTTAGAGGTCACTGAATCCAGTTCTTCCCCATTTTAAAGATGAGGAAACTGAGACACAGAGAGGTTAAATTACTTGCCCAGGATCTCATAGCTCTCAGGCAGGATCTGAAGCCAGGCCTCCCTGATTCCATATCCAATACCCTATCCACCATACCACATTGTTTAGACATTACTCCTAAAACTGTAACTATAGTTTTTGACTCTTGTTTTATTAGCCAAAATATGTCTGATGTAAACATATATGACACTTCTGAGTCATGTAAAAGTACCTAAGTGTGTTGGTTCAGCTGCCTTTCAGTAGTTTCTCTAGAAATACAATTTTTAGTGTCACTTTTATATAGTTTCTTATATTCCTTGCTGATTTCATTTTATGATGTATTCATTATTCACTTATCACCTAAAAGCCAGTGATTTATTTTTTCTTGTAGGGGTAGGGGAGAATTGCCAATTTTTCCTCATTTTCTCTAAAATCTGACACTATTCTATTTATAACTGATTCAATTAGAATGCCTGTATGTCACCCTTTTTTTTCCTGTGAAGAAAAACACTGTGAGAACATGTATTTGTTCTTTGGTGAATCTTCTGTGGTATTTAAATGGCAACATTGGTACCATCATAGATGGGCTCACAGGATTCAGAGTAGAAAAGCCTATAAAGTTCTTCTAGTCCAACCTCTTAATTTTATAGATGAGAAAGGCTAGTAAGTAGCAGAACTGATATTTTAAAAACCCAACCTTTGCTAACCCCAGGGCTCTTTTCACTGTAATGTATTGTTTTACAGCAAGCAAACCTGCTTCTCTAAGTGTAGGGAACATTCATGAAAACTAGCAATGAAGGGAATTTTAATTCCTCTCTCACTTAAATATGGAACCACTCCTTACTCTGGGTGTAACCAGCAGGGGGATGGAGCTGACTTTACGTTATTGGACATTAATAGCATTTTGCTTTGCATTCTCTAGTAGAAGTGGGTCTGTGGCAGTTGTTCAGTGTGGGAAAAAATAGACTTTAGGAAGTTAAAGTTCACTTATTTTCAGCTTCTCATTAACAGTTAACAAGGCTTACTTCAAAGGGAGTGAACTGGTTTAAAAAACAGAGGGGGCTTTGGATGGGAACTGAGGAGATCTGGGTCCTAATCTTGCCTCCCTTACTAACTAGTTATATGGCCAGCTTTTCTGGATCTTGATTTTCTCATCTCTAAAATTGAAGGAAGGTAGATTAAATCATTGCTAAGACCCTTTCCAGTTTTAAGATTCTGAGTACAATGGGTGTAGTAGTGACTTTCATATGTTGATAATTTTGTTTGGAATTGGGATAAGTACTGCAAAGAATGACTTGATTTTTCTTTTAGATTAAATATACCCTTACCTAATTCACTTAGCTATTTTCCCTCCTCTGCTATTCAGCTCTTACGATATTCATGAAATCAACAGAGAACTTAATGTTCTTACCTGATAAAAAGGAGATGGGCAAGCCCGCAAAAGTAAGAATTTTTGGTAAAATGAAAAATGTCTGTTCTTATCATGGCTCTTTTCTGCAGCTCCTAAAATGTTAGTCAAGAGATTTGATTTGGGACTTTTCCATATCTGATATTTATTCTATATTCTATATTCTATTTTATGTAGAATATTCTATATTCCATATTCTGACATTTACTACCAGATATGCTTTCATTTTAGTTTTCTTCTTTTGACTAAACACACAAATCATTAGAATGTTTATTCATTAATTCTTTACAATTCTACAATAAATCTTTCATCTTTTTTATCATAGCAAATAATGCTGGGGAAAAGTGGGCTGTATATTAGAGCTTATGCATACATATATTTTTTATTATCCTGCTTGTTATAAATGGAATGCTATTGGCCTGCATTTAACATGTTACTTCTTTTTCTTCACAGTTTTAAAGTTTCGGATGCTTTCAAAAATACTAACATTTTTACAGGTATTTTTGGAGTTTTTGAAAGAGATCTAAGAGGCATCAATTACAGCAGAATAGAATTTGGCTCCTTTTCTTCCAACATATACTTCTTCCAATAAATAATAATAATAGCTAGTATTTATATAGCACATTAAAGTTGGCAAGCACTTTACAAATATTTTCTCATTTCTTCTCCTCAGCATCTTGGGATATAGTAGTTATTATTATCCCCATTTTACAGATCAAGAAATTAAGTTATAGAAGTGCTCTGTCCAGGGTCACACGGTTAGTAAGTTCTGAGGCCAGATTTGAATTCAGGTAATAATCTGATTCCAGGTCCAACATTCTATTCTGTGCACTGCTCTGCTGAGCTACCTCACTTGGGTACACATTGCACACACGTATGCATACACCATGCCTTACTCCCGCAGAACACTGCTTACCTGAAAGAACTCAACCTGGAAACTTGTTTTAAATTTTTCTGTGTTACTCAAAAGAAACATAAGAAATGAATTCTCATCTTTTAAATCAATAATTCTACAGCTGCTGAACAAAGGTACCTCCAAGAAAAGTTATCCATAATACCTGGTCTACTGCTTTTCCATTATCTACAACATTCTTTTTAATGAATATCCTTTACGCTCAATGCTTGATGTTTTATCCCACTAACTGTACAAAACTAATGCTTAATTCAGGCTCTTTAGTTGAAAAAAGCAAGCAGTCTGTGATCCTGTGTTGATTTTTTTTTAACTTTGCAGGAAATACATGTATAATCTTGGCACTGCTGATTATGAAGCTATTAATGACTGTCTAACTAACAGCAAAAAAGAAGAGTTAAGGAAGACAGTTCTTTTGCACAGACTCTATCTAATTCCGCTAGGGTGCTCATGAGAAGTGGATGTAATTTTCTCCATTATTCCCCGCCTTTCTGCAAATGGAATTTTCTTATTGGGCTTGGTATTTGAATGAAGTAAAGAAAGGAGTCAGTCTCAGAATCTTACTCTGAAAACCAGCTTCTGAAAACACTAGCAATTTGCAGTTTTGCAGACTGTTCCCTTTTATCTAAATGTGTAGCCAAGGACTGAATCTTGCTTACCTTAGAACATGAGTCACCCAAAAACCACTCGACCAAAATCTATTCAAAATCAGCTGGTTTTCACTGGTGATTTGATACCATTTTAATTCTTACCTCTAAGGCCAATACACTAGTTTCTTCACTTCAGCTGCATGACATCTTCCCATGCCTTTGTCCTTATAACGGTATCAGAAATAGAAATCTTCAGTCTTAAGAAGACTTTAATTAGGCATTGAGGGTAATTTTTTTTTTAATATTAGGATGAGATTTTGTCACACTTTATGCAAAACTGCCAGAAAGAGTGGCTGAATTGTCCAATCCTCCTTGCTGTTGATCAAATTCAAAAGAAGAAAACCCAAATGAAAAGTTAGTCATCTTTTCCTGTTGTCCTTAGGATCTGATTAATGATGTTAACACAAATAACAAAGGAAAGTGTGATTACCTATGACTTCTTGGTGTTTTTGACTTGCCCAGGACTCTAGAAATGAGGAATTGCAGGTTTCTCCTTTCTGTAGAATACATCAGCTGGCACTTTTGTCCATAATCTGTCTGGGGAAAAAAAGCCTATGAAAAGGATGCTTCTGACTTAGTGCCTAAGTTAAACTAGTTTAATTTTTATATCCAGAGATTGTATAAAAGTGAATTTTTTAAAGAAAGAAAAAGGTTATGTACTTTTGAAATAATATATTCATAACCAAATTGTATATTTTGTTGTCTTGTAATTTAAAATTTATTTATTTACATCAGTGAGTAAAGTTTTACATATGTACTGTGAAAGTTCACATGTTCAAGATTTATGAGGAGAATCTTATTTTCCCAAAATAAAAATAAGTAAATGAATGTTTGATGATGATTTTATACTATCAATTTGCTAAACTATTTCATTACATGTGAGTAAATGATACATCTGTTTGCACTACTATATAATAAGATTTTAAAATAAGGTATATTGTTTCCACCCAAGTAGTAGTTGGGGATTTTAAAACAAACTAGGTTGTTGTTTTTTTAAAGTTTACGATACAAATTTGGCATTGTTGAGCACTACTTACCTCACAAGATTATTATAAGGAAA